CACCACACACACACACACACCACACACCACACACACACCACACATACACACACCACACATACACACCCCACACACATACACACACACACACCCACACACCACACATACACACACACCCCCACACACATAACACACACATACCCCACACATACCACACACACACACACACACACCACACACACACCCCACACATACACACCCCACACATACCACACACATACACATACCACACATACACACACACACACCCCACACACATACCACACACACACACACACACACCCCACACATACACACCCCACACATACCACACACACACACACACCCCACACATACACACCCCACACATACCACACACACACACACACCCCACACATACACAAACACCCCCACACACATAACACACACATACCCCACACATACCACACACACACACACACCCCACACATACACACCCCACACATACCACACACACACAAACACACACACCACACATACCACAAACACACACACACACACACACATACACACCCCACACATACACACATAACACACACACCCCACACATACCACACACATACCACACATACACACACACACACCCCACACACATACCACCACACACACAGACACACACCACACATACACACCCCACACACACCACACATACACATACCACACACACACACACACACACACACACACATACACACACACACCCAACACACATACCACACATACACACCCCACACACATACCACACACACACACCACACATACTACACACACACACATACCACAATACACACCCCACACATACCACACACACACATACCACACACACACCACACACACATATCACACATACACACACATCCCCCCCACACCACACACACACACACACACCACATACACCCCCACACCCCACACACATACCACACACACACACACACACACACCCCACACAATACCACACATACACACACACACATACACATACATACACACCACACACACACACACACACCACACATACTACACACACACACCCCACACATACCACACACACACACCACACACACATACCACACATACACACACATATCCCCCCCCACACCACACACACACACACACCACATACACCCCCCACACCCCACACACATACCACACATACACACACACACACACACACACCCCACACACACATACCACACATACACACCACACATACACACATAACACACACACCCCACACATACCACACACACACACATACACACATACCACACACACACACACACCCCACACATACACACCCCACACTTACACACTCCACACATACCCCCCACACACACACGTGGGGGGTATTGACAGAGTGTAGAGGCCCACACCTTTGATCCCAGCACTAGGGAGGTAGAGGCAGGTGGGTCTCTGAGTTCCAGGCCATCCTGATCTATATAACAAGTTCCAGGCCAGCCTATACAGAGAAACCTTGTCTAAAAAAACAAAACAGGCTAGAGAAATGGCTTAGCAGTTAGGAGCACTGGCTGCTTTTTCAGAGTCTTGGGTTCGATTCCCAGCACCCGCACGGTGGCTCACAACTGTCAAACTGTAGTTTGATCTGATGTCTTTCTTCTGGTGTGCAGTTGCACATGCAAGCAAAGTACTCCAATACATAAAATACATAAATAAATAAATCCTTAAACAGCAAAACAACTTCCCAAGCAAAACAAGACAACAAAAAAACCAATTAAACCTATTAAATAGAAACAACACAATGGAAGGAGGACAGCTTCTCAGGAATTGACCTAAGGTTGACTTACAGCTTCTATACATACATGTGCATGTGAAAATACATGTGCCCTTGCACACACAGAAACATGTATACACTTATCTATGAAAATGCCAAAAGGAAACCCATTACTTTGCATACTAATTGTATTTATATATTTTTGTAACTAAAAAAAAAAGAGGTTTATTTATTTTATTGTATGTGTCTGGACATTTTGCCTGCAGGTATGTTTGTGTACCACATTCATGTAATGCCCATGAAAGTCAGAAGAGGGCATCAGATCCCCTGGAATTACACACAGTTGTGAATTGCTATGTGGCTGCTAGAGGCTAAACCTGGGTCCTCCGGAAGAACAGCTAGAGCTTTAACCTCTGAGCCATCTTCCCCATGCGAATTTTTAAGAATCCTAAAAAATCGAAACCTCTAAAAATGGAAAAGAAATATGAAGGCAGGTATGGTATTTTGAATGTAATTGGCCCCCATAAGCTCACAGGGAGTGGCACTATTAGGAGGTGTGGCTTTGTTGGAGTAAGTATGGCCTTATTGGAGAAAGTGTGTCACTGAGGGAGTGGGTTTTGAGGTCTCATATGCTCAAGATACTGCCCAGTGTCTCAGTTCACTTCCTGCTGCCTGTGGATCTAAGATGTAGAACTCTCAGCTCCTCCAGCGCCATGTTTTCCTGAACACCTCCATGATAATGGACTGAGCCTCTGAAATGAGCCCTCTCAATTAAATGTTTTCCTTTGTAAGAGTTGTGTAGTCATGGTGTCTCTTCACAGCAATAGAAACCTTAACTAAGACAGAAGAGAACACAGTTTCTTTTCAGGGCTGGTCAGTGTTTGATACTAGAAGCTGCAAATGGTTTTTCTCCCTCAGAAAATTAGAATCTTGTTTCAGTCAAATATTCTCACTGCTAAGCCATGGGACCCCAGGGGTGGGTGGCTGGGCAACGCAGTTCATCCAGCTTTGATTTTTGACATTCATGGAACTGATGATGGTTAAATCAACTGATGATGATGAGCCAAGCAGTTTCCTAGTGACATGCAACACAGTAGATTCCATGGTTTTCTGTAACTTGCCTGTTAATGGATATGGATACAGTGAGAAGCCATAGGCTTTCAGCACCACACACGTTTGCCTTTCATTTCATAAGCCTGTCCCAGTCAGTCTTCCACCGGTCCCCCACGCCCGCTTTTTCCACTCCTATTTTCATAGCTTTCAGGCTTATCACTTCCAGGGAGAGTCCATGACAAGTAGTGCTGAGATTTTGTTTTTATTTTTTTCCCTTGACTTCTTCAACAGATATTCTCACATTGGTTTCAGACATACTATTTATAGCTCATTCTCAGCCACTTCCAGCTGGTGTTTGCCCTGTCAGTGACAACAGCTGGTCTGTATTGGTGCATCTGTCAACTCATTAAGAGCCAAGGAAAACCACTCGAAAACATTCTCCTTGTTTTGAAATTGACTATTGATGTTTCCCCCTCGTGTCTTCAGGTTCCCAGCAGTTATTGAAAAGCTAACACTGCTGTTTGTTCTTTCTGGACACGTTTCTTCAGCTGCTGCAATCAAGGTGATTTAATTAAACTCACTCCCAGTAAGAGCTTTCCTTGTTTGGTGAGCAGATGAGCGAGTTGGAAATTCATTTTCTTTGCAATCTCATTTTCACATTTTAGTGTTTGAAAAAGTCCGCTATGATAAGATATGCATTGAACATTTCCAACCTTTGTGAAAACTGCTCTTCTGTGAGTCAGGAGGATGGTGGTTTGCTTAACACTGATGTATCTTTAACTTTCTTTATTGCTTTGTATATATGGGTGGTTTTCCTGCATGTGTGTTATACGCTAGCATGCAGTGCCTTAGGAGGCCAGAAGATGGTGCTGCTCCCATAAACTGGAGTTACAGATGGTTGCGTGTGACCATATGGGGGCGCTGGGAACTGAACCCAGGCCCTCTGGAAGAGCAGCCAGTTCTCTTAACACTGAGCCATCTCTCCAGCCCCTTATCTTTTTGTGACTGTGATAAAATACTCTGATGAAATCCACTTAAGGAGGAAAGAGATTACTGTGGCTCCTAGTTCGAGGCACAGTCCATCATGGCAATGCAATAGGGGTAGGACCCATCTCCCAGGTGACTCTAGATTCTGTTAAGTTGACAATACTAACTTCCACATTGATATATTGTGAAGCCTAAAGAAACTACCCACCCATCTTGGTACCCACTAAAAAATTATAGATCTTTAAAATTTATTCTTATTTTGTGCATATGAGTATTTGCCTGCACGTATGTCAGCGCATCACATATGTGTAGTGCTCATGGAAGCCAGAAGAGGGCATTGGGCCCTCTGAAACTGGAGTTACACACGGTTGTGAGCCACCATGTGGGTATTGGAGATTGAACCCAGGTTCCCTGGAAAGGCAGCCCGGACTCTTAACTGCTGGGCCATCTCTCCAGCCCCAAAGAAGCTTTTCAAAACAATAATTTATTTTATTTTATGCATATTGGAGTTTTGCCTATGGGTATGTTTGTGTGAGGTGTTGGATCCCTGGGAACTGGAGTTACAGACAGTTGTAAAGCTGTCATGTGGGTGCTGGGAATTGAACCTTGGTTCTCTGGGAGAGCAGCCAGTGCCCTTAACTATTGAGCCATCTCTCCAGACCCCCGAAGAAGCTTTTGAAGGAGTGAAAACTTACTGTGGGAAGCAAGTAGATTTGAGTGGTATAAAGATATGGGTTATATGGATGAGTGTGTGTGTGTGTGTGTGTGTGTGTGTGTGTGTGTGTGTGTGTATGTATATGTGTGTGATGTATATGTGTGTGTGAGTGTGTGTGATGTGTATATGTGTGTGATGTGTATGTGTGTGAGTGTGTGTGATGTGTATGTGTGTGAGTGTGTGATGGATGTGTGTGTGAGATGGATGTGTGTGAGTGTGTATGTGAGAGTGTGTGTGTGTGTGTGTGTGTGTGTGTGTGTGAGAGTGTGTGTGTGATGGATATATGTGTGTGTGTGAGTGTGTTTGTGTGTGTAGTGGATCCCAATGCCTAGCCAATGACTCATCACACAGGTGCTGAGAACATTGGCTGTTGGAAGCCATCCTGGAGCTTGTGTCATAGGTACCCTTGTGACATCATTCTTCTCTATTTACTCTGCTGGATCAGAGCTAGAGGAGTGCAGACTGAAGGGTGATGGGAACATCTAGCCCCTAACCATGGGTAATTTAGTAGAATATAGATCTTTGGGGGGTTCAATCATGCATGCCTACATCAGGGCATTGAATGCTTTATAAGAGATTGATCTAGCTGGGCAGTGGTGGTGCACACCTTTAGTCCCAGCACTCGGGAGGCAGAGGCATGTGGATCCCTTCGAGTTCGAGACCAGCCTGGTCTACAAGAGTTAGTTCCAGGACAGCCTCCAAAGCCACAGAGAAACCCTGTCTTGACCCCTCCTCCCCCCAAAAAGAGATTGATCTATCCAGGAGTGACCAACCCACAGCCTACAGGCAGTATGCAGATGAGGAGAGCTAGGCATGTGGCCCAATATAAAACTGGAAACTTCCTCAAACTGTTACAAAATTTACGTGTGTGATTGATTTTGTTTTGTAATTCAGGTGTGTGTGTGTGTGTGTGTGTGTGTGTGTGTGTGTGTGTGTGTGTGTGTGTGTTTCACGTGAACTTTGTAGGTGGTAACATCATTCACAATGTCTAAAGGTTGGATACATTTGTTAGGGTAGGGTAAGGTCTCCTCCTAGTTACCATAGGAGGGGATTCCTCCTCCATGTCCAGTATTGTAAAAAAGGGCCAGAAATAGCAGGGTGTGGTGGCTCACAGTTTTAATCCTAGCACTCAGGGAGGCAGAGGCAGGAGGATCTCTGTGAATTCAAGGGTAGTTTGTTACTGAACAGCCAGAGCTACATAGTGAGACCCTGTCCCAAACAAACAAATGAACAACAACAACAACAAAAGGCCAGAAGGGGGGTCTTGTTGACTTGGCACCAGGGAAAACATTTTGACCTTCTCCCTTATTTTCCTCCCAAATCAGAAAGAGTTTTAAATTATCACAAGACAGGAATATAATCCAAGTACCTGGAAAGCTGAAGCAGATGAATTACTATGAATTTGAGGCCAGCCTGGGGCTACATAGTGAGTTCCAGATCACCTTGGGCTATAGAATGAGAGGCAGCCTCAAAAAAAGAATAATTGGGCTGGAAAGATGACTCAGTGGTTAAGAGAACTGGCTGTTCTTCCAGAGGTCCTGAGTTTGATTCCCCAGCAACTACATGTTGGCTGAAAACCATCTATAATGGGATCTGGTGTGCAGGCAGACATGCAGATAGAGCACTCATACACATAAATAAGTCTTTATAAAAAGAATTACCATTAAAGAAAATGAAGAAGCATATTCTAAACATGTTATGTGCTGTGTATGTGCAGGTGTGTGTGTTTGCAATGATGTACATGCTAACTGAAGTTTAAGCTGTTGATTGGGTGGGTGACAGTTCTCTGGTAGGTTGTTGAACAGAAGGTTCTGGATCCCAGGGAGGTGGTCCTGCCTAAATGAATATATATTTTTTTAACATTTATTTATTTTATGTGTATGGTGCTCTCTCTGCATGTACACATGCATGCCAGAAGAGGGGAACATCAGATTCCACTCTAGATGGCTGTGAGCTACCACATGGTTACTGGGATTTGAACTCAGGCCCTCTGGAAGAGTTGCCAATGCTCTTAACTGATCAAGAGAATATTAATTTTTTTTTTTTTACTTCTAAATCATGAATTCTTGCTCTAGACTGACCAACTAGACAACTCATGGAAAACTGGGGAGATGTGCCCTGTTTGCCGATAGGCACATGCCCAGACATTCACAGGTCAGGTTGATGTATTCATGCCAATTAACCAGCATGTACCAAACAGAGGTAGGCCACCTAGCTGGTCACCTGCGTGCAGCTATGGCCCCGCGGGTCCTGCACCTCCTTAATGGAGGATCAGGATTCCTGTCTGGCACACCCTGAGCTTCCAAGCATCTTAAGCTGTCTTTTCTCTCTTGCAAGGCCCAGAAGAGAATACTGCCATGACACAAACATCTGCAGCTGTGCTCATTCAAGCATGGTGGCGCGGCACACTACTGCGACGCTCGCTGCTGAGTGCCGCCCTCAATGCGTGGATCATTCAGTCCTGGTGGAGAAAGATACTGTTGAAGGTGCGGGAGAAGAGACGTCAGGCGGCTCTGCAGCTTTATGCTCAAAAAACATGGGCAACGGTCACACTGCAGTCCTGGTTCCGAATGTGGCGCATCCGCCAACGATACTGTCGTTTGCTAAATGCTGTCCGCATCATCCAGGTTTATTGGCGTTGGCATAGTTGTCACACTCGTGGCTTTATCCAGGGCGACTATGAAATCAAAGAAAATCATCTGAATATTCAACTTGAAATTTCCCTGGGCTCACAGGCTTGCAAGGTGCAGCAATGCATAACCCTACCAATAAAAGAGTGATCAGGTCTGCTACACCCGCGTCCTCAGCTCTTTTTTATCAGAAAGACTTCCAGGTCAACAGGACTAGAGACAACATGGCAGATACCAGGTGCTCGGCATATCAGCTCCGAGGGGCACTACTGAGAAGGAGCCTCAGTGCTGGAGGATACAGATCTGGGATGGATTAGTAATGTCTGCCATGGGCAGGGGCGTTAGGATTTCAGGGTTTCCAGATGTCTCAGTTCCAGGGAGAACATATAAATGGTCTCCCTTGATAACGCGACATAGAGGCCTTTATTTTGGGGCTTTGTGTTTGCTATAAAATTTTAAGACTTATTTTAGAAATCATGGTAAATATTTGACACAAACTATTTTAAACTAGATTGAAAGGTACTTATATTATTCAATTGTCACCATCCATCTCCATAGCATTTTCATCTTGCAAAGCTGAAAATTTCTACCCATTAAATAGGATTGTTAAAGCCAGGTGGTGGTGGCACACGCCTTTAATACCAGCACTTGGGAGGCAGAGGCATGTGAATCTCTGAGTTCAAGGCCAGCCTGGTCTAGAAAGCTACAAATCCTGTCCTTGAAAAACCAAAAACAACAAAAACAAAACAATAAATAGGAATCTTTTGTTCCTCCCTCCAGCCCCGGACAACTTATTTGTCTCTATGAATTCAACATTTTATATGAGTGACACCTCTCTACCCCCATCCTGGAGAACTCAGAGAACTCATACAAAACCTATGTTGTAGCTACTGGCTTATTGTACTTCCTCCAAGTTCATGTTGTAGCATGTGTCAAGTTTCCCTTTTAAAGGTTGAATAACAGCCCCCCAAATACATGTACTGCCAGTGTTCATTTGTTGACTGATGTGTGCCACACTGCCTCTTGGCTATTTGAACAATGTGGCTGTGGACATGGATGGATAAATAGCTTTTTTCTTTCTTTAAAAAAAGTTGTGTGGGGGGAGAACAAAAAGAAAAAACCCTATGTATTGTGTGATGTATGCATGTGCGTGTGGTATACACATGTATGTATATATATGTGTATGTGATGTATGCATGCATGTGTGGTATATGCATGTGTATTTGTGTATGAATGTCTGTAATGTATGTGTGTGGCATATTCATGTGTGCATATGTGTGTATGTAGTGTGTGCATGCATGTGTGTGTGTGTGTGTGGGGGGTATACTCTGTGTGGTGTGTGTGGTGTTTGCATGAATATGAGCATGCTCACACACATGCCCACAGGCTACCCTTAAACTCACTTCTGATCCTCTTCCCATCTCCATCTCTCCAGTGCTAGGATCACAGGTGTACAGCTAGTTGTGGGTTTGGTTGCTTTTTGAGACTTGTCTCAGTGTGTAGCTGGCCTTGAACTCAGGCCTCACAAAGGAATGGAAAACTTACATCCCTATAAAACCCTGAGCATGCATGATTTCGGAAGCTTTATTCACAACTGCCCGAATTTGCAAGCATCCAAAATGTCCTTCAGCATAGGAGGGGTTGAATAAACTTGGTATGTCCCTCAAGTGGTGTTACAGTGAGTAAGCCATGATAACTCATGGAGGAACTTACATGCATATTACTCAAGGAAAGACAGCAACCTGAAAGGCTACATACTGTGTGCAGTCTAGAAAAACAAAAACAAACAAACAAATTATGGAGAAAGTAAATAAAAGAGATCGTCACTCAGAAGGCAGAGGCTAGAGGATTGCAAGTTCAAATTTATCCAGAGCCACATACTCATCCCTCTTCAACACCCCCCCAAAGCCTGCCAATCTCCTCTTCAAATACTCAATTTTGCTTCTCCCCTTCACTTGATCTAAGAAAAGGGAACAGATTAGATCCCCAATTTCCTGTCACCTTGTTCTCCATCCCAGCTGTACCCTACACTCACTGCTTTCTCTCTAGTGAAATTAAAGGTCTTTGTCCTGATCACAAGCCAACTCCTCAGACTACACTTCTGTCTTCTCTAGCTGCCTGAGCCCATATATGGAGCCTAGAAGTCTAAGTTATCAAGGAATCAAACCCAGATCCTCTGGAAGATCAGCCGGTGCTCTTAACCACTGAGCCATCTCTCCAGCACTCTTGGTAGGTTTGAGGAGCAAAACTGGCTTGGTATAATTGAGTATTTGAAGAGGAGAGATTTTGGGTTATTCAGCCCATAAAATGGAAATGCAAACATGAGAGAAAATCCAGGGAATATTCAGTCAAGACACAGAGTTGAGCACAGACAGTCTTGCTCCAATGTAACTGTACTGTAGGTAAGGGAGCAGAAAGGCAGGTGGGCTCATCCCACAGGTGTTGAGGTAGGGAGGGAGGAGGAGGAGGGATGGGGAGGAAAATGGATGGAGGGAGGAAGAGAAGAAGCCAAACGGTGCAGAGAATTGGTCATAATAAGGCAGAAAATCTGAACTGGTAAAGAAAGTTAGGCACGGCAGGAGTGAAGACCTGAAAGACTATCAGAATCTAGAGACCAAAGATCTTAGCACAGAAAGAGACACTGTCGGTTATTGAGAAGCTGTGCCTGAAGGAAAGGAGGAAGTAACCAGAGCCGGGGCCTCGGAGAAAGCAGTTTGAGCAGCCGTCCATCACAGGGGATGATGGTGTCTAGAACCTCACTATCCATAGTGTGAAGAGTTACATTTAAATTAAAAGAGTTAAAAACCCATTTCCTCAATTTCACTAGGTATATTTCCAGGGGGTTTTCCATACCAGAAAGTGCAACTAAAGAAGGTTCTACAAAATAGTGCTATTTTAGTATGGCCATGGGAGAATTGAGGAGCTTGGGAGGGTTGTTTGGGAGTTGGGGAAGGAGCGATGTTAGAGAGGACCTTGCTTGATGCACAGCCCTCTGGGAGAGGAGTTTGGGTGAGGGAATTGAGGGGCTGGGAGTGTCTTTTTAAAAATGATTTATTTATTTTTCTTTCATGCACATTTGTGTTTTGTCTGCATGTATGTCTGGGTGAAGGTATTGGGTCCCCTGAAACTGGAGTTACAGACAGTTGTGAGCTGCCATGTGAGTGCTGGGAATTGAACCCAGGTCCTCTGGAAAAACAGCTTAACCCTCCGAGCCATCGCTCCAGCCCTGTGAGTGTCCTTTTCCACTTGTTCTCAGGGTCATCTCCTTGCCCCTTGACATGGCCAGCCCTAGCCCCAGCCAGCACTAAGGCCACCCTCCTATCTTCATTTGGGGCCACACTGTGATGGCTGCATTCAGACACTGGCATTTTCTTTAAATGCTTCTCAGGAAACAGAGGCACTCTAGATCCCAGCCAACCCTGACTCCAGACCCCAGAGTCAGTCAGGGCATGTCAAGAGTTTTCATGGGATGAAGTCGTCAGATCAGTGATGGGGGAGCAAGGAGGGGGCCTGGGAATGGGAACTGGACTTCTGGTTGGGTCAGGTTGGGACCTAGCTGATGTTTTGATGACTGAGTGGCCTGTGACCATTACCATTCCAATATGCAAACACAGGAAAACCTCACTGTTCTCTGTGAGAGACAACAGGACTCAGCGAGGCCCAAGTCTCAAGGCTTCCATAAACATACACCAACCATTTAGACCTTTACTGGGGACGGAAGACAGCGTCCTTCTAGTCAGCCCTCAGTGGTCAATGATCTCGATGTGGAACTGCAGGTGGGTGGTAGTGATCACACAGTGACCCCGCAGGTAGGCGCAAGACTGGCAGTTGTGGTATTTCCAGTGGGCCTGGATGACGTAGATCGCACTGAGGACCTGGCAGTACCGCCACTGGACGCGCCACATCCGAATCAGGGACTGGAGCTTGACCACCGCTCTCTCTGTGTGTGAGTAGTCAATCAGCGCTTGCCTCCGCTTCTTCTCCAGGATCCTCCCGAGCATCAGCCGCCACCAGCACTGCAGGATCCAGGCCCTGAGGGCTGCGTGGAGCAGAGTCCTGCGCACCAGGGTGCCACGCCACCAGGCCTGGATCTTAATGGCTGCTTTAGTGTTTTTTTTTTTTAACTTTTTCTAGACAGAGATAAGAGAGATTACTCAAGGACCTGCCTGCTACCAACCTTCAGGGTCTTCTTGGAAGGGCTCTGGGCTGTCTCTTAATACTGGCTCTCCCTAGGAGAGTTCTGGGGTCTAGCAGAACTCTGATCAGGAGCCAGAAGATCTGGTAGGGACCTTTCCCTGCCACTGTGGACACCACCTCATTTTGGGCGTCACAGTTCCTCTCTTTTTCTTTTTCCTTTCTTTCTTTCTTTTCTCTTTCTTTCTTTCTTTCTTTCTTTCTTTCTTTCTTTCTTTCTTTCTTTCTTTTTTCCCTTCGAGACTGGGTTTCTTTTCGAGGCAGACAGCCTTGGCTGTCCTGGAACTCGCTCTGTAGACCAGGCAAGCAGAGATCTACCTGCCTCTGACTCCTGAGTGCTGGCATTAAAGGCCAGCACCACCACCACCCAGCTGTTCCTCTCTTTTTCATTCCATGTATTCTAGGCTGGCCTTGAACTCCTTATATAGTGCAGGATGACCTTAAATTTCTGTTCCTCCTGCCTCCATCTCCCAAGGGCTGGGATGACAGGGGGTGTACCTCCATCCTTGGCTAACAACATCCTTCTCTTGCTTACCTCACTGCTGCCTAAGTCAAGAGAATACCAGAGTCCCTGTGTACTGAGGGTAAGAGGAGCTTTGCTATAGTCACAACCACATCATTAAGTTTGACTGATTTGGGAAGATTTGCTCTCCTAATGCTTTGCCTGGTTTTTCTTGGCTGACTCATGCCCCAAAACACACCATCTGATTGCTCTCTGCAATAATCACCTATTTTTATTTTGTGGTGTGGTTTGGAGCACCTCTTGCATGCTCTACAACTAACCTTCCTGTATTTAGACCATTCTGCTTAATCCAGAGTACTCATGTTCTTGACTTCTAACCCCATGCAGTTTCTGCTGGGTTTCCCTCTTTCCAGTCACTATGTCGCAGTCAGACTCAGATCCAAGAGTCCAGACTGAGGAGGAGGACACAGAGGGGAATAAGCAAATATTGACT